GGGAAAGAGACAAAGCACCCCCCAGAGGAGATAGCAACACCACAATCCCTTCTCCTCCATCCTCCTCTCAGGATTTTGGTCATTAATGTACACATGCCTGGCGTGTTTTTCAAGCCTCCAGGTCCAGGATTCGGACTACATAGTTGACCATGTGGGTTCTAGCTGCCTTAACCACATCACCAGCTGGCTCTTACAATGTAATGTTCTTTGCTGAAGATAATGAATATGGTGATATTCTTTATTTGATTATCATACACTGCAGACATGCTTTGAAAAACCATATTGTACACCACAATGATATACAATAATTAAATGAAAATAAGAAACTTTAAAATAACTTTTAATTCATCACAAAACAAAACCAAAAAACTGTCATCTCAGCTGAAAACTCTGTCATTGGGAACCAGCAGTTAGCATAATGGCTATGTCGCTGGACTCCCACGTAGTTGACCGCGGTTTGCGTCCCGGACCCGGTGGCTTAAAACTCACGCCGGGTGCATGTGCGCACGTGCCCAAGATCCCGAGAGGAGAATGGAGGAGAAGGGATTGCGGCGTGACCATCCCCCTGGGGGGTGATTTCTCGCTTTCTGTCTCTATGTCTCTCTCTGTCTGTTTGGCGAGCGCATGCGCCCTATAGCGAAAACCTCTCCAAAAAAAAAAAAAAACAACTCTGTCATTTAATCAGTGAATTCTATTGACCTTATCTTCTAAATGTCTTCTACTATATCTCCCATGACATCCATATGCCAAAAGAAAAATCAAACCCTCCTCAATCAGTGTCCTCATTTCCCCACATTCTGCCAGTAACCTTTCCAAATAAGTCACATTGTTCATGAGACACCTTTAGTGGAAATCCAGCAGGAAATATAATAAGTCTTCAAAAAGTTCATGAAAAATGAACATTATAAGAAAATAGGCATGGATTTCCAACATTTTTTCATCAAAGTAAACTCATACTTTAATTCCATTTTTTCCATAAACTTAAAGTTTGCTGGTAGCTTTCCTTTTCTTTCAGAATTAACATCAAGTTCCCCATTTTGATATTGTGAACTTTCCCAATTATATTGAACCCACTTCCCCAAAGCATTTCCTACCCTTCTTCCTTCCCATCTCTAAGCATATCAAATTTCTCATCATCCTCTAAACACTTTCATTTTTCCCTTTCACTGGGACTCTACCCATGACATTCACAGTTCCTTTCTCTCCCCTTTCTCCATATCTAGACCTTTGAAGAGTCTCCTTAACTTCCATTTTTCTGACCCTAGGGAGAGCTAGTCATTCCTGTCTCTGGATTTCCAATGTACTTGCAACATACATTTATCACAGTTCATTTCAAAATATATCATACTCATTTAAGTATCTTTATTTTCCATCATACTGTGAATTGTACAAGTTCAGACTGTCTCATTCACTTTTTTAAGTATCCCAGAGCTTAGCATAGAATGCAGACATACTAGGGGCCCAATGAATAAATGAAGAATAAATAAACATACCTTTCTTCGCTTTAATTAAGTGCTTTCCAACTTCTAGTGTCACAAAAGCAGTGCCATTTAGAACTATGTCAGTTATGGTCTTCCAGGCGTTAGGAGAGAGTCTTTCAGTGGGAGAAATAAAATTCCCTGCTGCATTGTTTATCACAATCTAATAAATGAATAAGGCGAGTTATAGATACTTTCAGGTAAGAAAGAACATTTTCCCTAGAAGGCTTTTATTTCTGAAGTTTATTAATCAAAGTAATACAACAAAGCTGAAGTTCATAGTCAGTTATAAAGCAATACCTTGAGATCTGGTTCTGTTTTTATGTTTTTTGAGTCTGTTAAAATATCCTATATTATTTCCAAGTTTCAGCATTCTAACCACTTTCTTTAAATTAGGGTAGACTTATAATTAAGAAAATAAAGACTAAGGTTATTTGCCATGTAGACTTTATTTCAAGGAATCTCAAGAAATGCATATAAATGTCTGTGTCATTTCACTTTAACTTATCCAAGGAAGCTGATTCTTCGCTATTAATAAGATTCTGACTAATTCTATAGATTTCAATATTATTGATCTGTCTGAAAATATCTTTAACATAGACAAGTACTCTCTTGAGACTATTGGAGTAAATTACTTCTCTCCAATAAGTTAGCAAAGGGCAGTGATGGTGGTACATACAATGTCTCACCCCCACATGGGAAGGCTCTGGGTTTATACCTGGAGATCTCCCTCAGTACGACAGACACATACATGCCCGTGATCTAGGGCTGGCTGAAGATGGAGTTTGATTGTGGCATGAGGACTCTGTTAGGGGTACCTATCTCTCTGTCCCTCTCTCTCTCTCTCTCTCTCTCTCTCTCTCAGAGAAGAAATCAACTTAAAGAAAAAAAAAAAAACTTTTAAAAAGAAATAACTAAGCCAAACAACAGGAAAATAGCCATGCATATCTCAAGTCAGGAGAAATTTGCAATGTTTCAGAGTTTTCCTTGTTTGTATGTTCCCCTCCGCAAAGAAAGGTCACCAACACTATTAGGAAAACAAAGAGCATGAATCACTTAACCTAGATATTGTGCTCTTTAACAACTGTTCTTCTTACTTCATAATCTTATTAAATAAAGTGAAATCAAGTTTGTAATATGATTATCAATGGATTTTTAAAGTATTCCTGAAAGGACATAGTATAGCCACCCATCTCATCTCTTCTCTGCTTTAAGCAGAGCAGGCATTTTCCTAGGGAGAGAAAGTAGGTCCTTCTCAAATAAGCACTTGCCCACATCAATATTTTATTCCTTGTGCACCTTGGTGGGTGTTATCAACATCAAATAACTCATATTTTGGCCTCGCCCCCATTATACTTACATCAGGATATCCTACGACTTTGATCATTTCTGTCACAGTGTTTTGAACCATCTCAGGATCCCTCACATCACATTGAATTGCATGAACCTGTGAAATAACAAAGAGAAAAAGAAATTACTACATTTACCGGATTTTTTAAATCAAAAACAAAAGCAAATTATTTAACATGTTATGATTCCTCAATCTAAATTAAATGACTACTTTTTACTGTACCTTATTACCAGTTTGAGAAGAAATTTGTTCTGCAGTGGCTTTCAGAACATCAATCTTCCTAGAAATAAACACATAATACTTTGCATGAGTTCTGAAATGAATTCACATTATATTTTTCTTTTTAATTCCTTAAGTTCAAAAACACAGAAAATCTAAAGCTTACAGAAAACCGTTTCTTTTAAAAAAGCATTAAAGTTATCTACCACAAATCATTTTGAATTTAATTCCTTTTCTAAAAGTTAAATTCAAACAATTTTCATATACCTGATACTGATTTATTGAATTAGTCACTTTTAAACCAGTTTAGCATTATATACTCACAGATTTAAATTATTTCCTTAATTATAAGCATTGTGTCTGTTCTTTGTCCAAGTCAGCTTTACAAATGAAATATTTCATGGTATAAATGTTTAGTATGTTTTAGACCAAATTTATAGGTTAGGATAAAATATATACATTCAAGGCCTTACATCCTCAAAACAAAAAGAAAAATTATACACATGAATATAAATTACATATTAAAATTAAAATAATATTTCAAAACCTTAAAAACATTACAATGTAAAAACAAAAGTGCACTGGTTCATTGGCATTTGTGAATGCAACAGAGACTGTCATTCAGATGACTACTTAGCCTGACTAAAATTTTACACCATTTAAAATTGGAAGGTGTGGCCCCATAGCTTAGTGGTTAAAGAGAACTGACTGACCACATGACTGACCACAGTTCAAGTCCCAACCTGATGGCTAGGTGCATGTACATGCATGCCCCAAATCCCAGTGGGATGGAGAGATGGAGGAAAAGGGACTGCAGCATGACCACATCCTATGGGGTGGAGGCAGGTGTTTTCTCCATCTCTCTCCCTCTAGCAATCCAGCAATAAAGGTGGGGGTGGAGGAGGGAAGGAGAAAATTGGTGGAAGGGCTGGATTTTTAAAATAAAGCTCCAAACTTACATTAGGTACCAAGATTTCTAAAGAAGAAATTTCTTACATATGGTCTTACCCTTCCTATATTCATCATAACAATAGATGTTTTGAAATATCTATCCATCTTATAGAAAACAGAATAATTACATCCACTATCCTGGTACAAAATTAATTAGCGGGGCTGGTAGATGGCATGGTGGTTGGGACGCTGGACTCCCATGTGGTAACCAAGGTTTAAGTCCTGAACCTGGTGGCTTGCTTTCTCACTTTCCTTTCCTCTCTCTCTCTGGTCAAATGAAAAATAGTAATAATAACAAATGAAATTAAATAAGTAAATATTTAAAAAATTAATTAGCAATTGAAGACGCAATCATAGTTACTTTCCTGAAAACAATGCATCTTCAATGGACTACTTGACTTCATCTTCACATAGAGATTTAAAAAAAAAAAAATCACTAACTTTGGGAAATGTAAACAGCATTAGTTTCAAAATTGTCATTATTTCTATTAGGATGTTGGGAAAGTCATGATGTATTTTTCTAGCAAAAACGTGTCATGATTTTGTAGACAACCCAATATTATCTCAAATTGTAACTTAATTTTTTCTAAGGAGATTATTTAAATATTCTAACATCTATTTTATTTAGGATTAAGATACAAATCAAACAACTATGGCAAATCTCTTTCAACACTGTGGAGCAGAATGGTGTCTTCAACAGACTCTTAACAAGTGACTTGCTGAGGCTGACTTACCGGCTGGCTATCACACACTGAGCTCCTAGGCTGGACAGAAGAGTTGTCATTCCTTTCCCAAGGCCAGTACCTCCCCCAGTAATGAACACCGCTTTTCCTTGAAAACTATTAGGTGGTAGCATCGCTTTTTGAAGGGGTGGAAAGAATTTTGATTGCGAAGCTTCAGTGTTTTGATATAATATTTTTGTTCCATTACTGAAAAACTAAAAGAGGAAAAAAATGAATTAAAACTTGCATATATGTATTTCCATAAGAGATTAATTTGTTACAAGTTACTCTTAAATTTCATATTAATAGAATTCTTGAATTAACACACACTTGTAAATATATTGTTATTGTATTTAATCCATTATTAAATTTTTTTTCCTGAGTATTAAGTAAATTCCACTAGTATGTTAATAATGGAATGGTTTAAAAACCATAGGCCCTGGAGGCCAGCAGGCGGTGCGTTGGTTAAGGCACTGCACTCGCACATGGTCGACCATGAGTCCCAGACCTGGAGGCTTAAAAATCACTCAGGGTGGGTGCGAGAGGGGAAGAGTGTGGGGAAGGAAATTAGGGAGAAAAAATAGAACAGTAAGACATTTGTGGGACACATAAATGGTTTATTACCTGTTGATGATAATGTGTACAGCATTCTCAACTGTACTGGTCTGAGATGTATTCCATGTTGGATAAATTCCCTTTACAAACTAAATGATGTATAGTGACTGAATGTATAAAAATAACAATAAAATAAAAAAGAACATCACTCCTGGCACATATGTATATGTACCTAAAATCCCAAAAAGAGAATGGAGGAAAAGGGATTGTAGCAAGACCATCCCCTTGGGGGGTGACTTCTCACTTTGCTTCTCTCTGTCTCTCTCCAGGAGTGTATAGGCCCTGTGGCAAGCAAACACACACACACACACACACACACACACACACACACCCACACGCAGACATCACAACAACCCTATTTGGTAAATTCTGTTACAGAAGCATAGGTACTGTAGCTTAACTACATAGAATTTTTTCCTAGTCATTTAATCTTCAGCAAGTTAACCTCACTGTGCCTCAGTTTAACCTATAAAATGGGTCCATCAAAAGGGAGAACCTTCTTCTTAGACATTGTGAGGATTGCATGAGTTAACGTAACTAAAATACCTAGAAAGTGTGTGGCACACAGTAAGCATTCTTATAGATAATAGCATATTATTAATTTCAGGAGTTTTGCTTAAATTTAACTTTTAAAAAGCTAATGTAAAGCATTTTTGTTTTTTAATAAGAATAATTTGGATAAAAATCACATTCTATTTTTGAATAACTGAGGGAAATTATACAGATTCTTGATATGGTTTATTAAATCAAATGATTCCTCTCATGTTATCATTTAGCCAAACAAACAATGCATTTTTGTTATCTTTCAAATGGAAAAAATAGCCAACCCACTCAGAACTAAAAAATTTCTATCACCCTATTTTACACTTTACAGCTTATACTCACATTACTTGTGCAAATCACTGCCCTTCTCTCACATTTAATTATAAAAACAAACTAAGTGTTGAATAGAACAACGGGGGGACCAGCAGGTGATGTAGTGGTTAAGGTGCTGGACACTCCCACATGGCCGACCACGGTTCAAGTCCTGGACCTGGTGGCTTGCTTTCCCACTTTCTCTCCCTCTCTCTCTCTGTGTCGTTCTGGTCAAATTAAAATAAATGAATGAATAAATTTAAAAATTTATTAAAAAAAAAAGAATAGAAAAATAGGAGCACACATTAAATGATTACCGTGTGCCAGGATTAGATATCCAACTACTTTTCACTACAACTCAATTAAATAGGTATTAATTTTATCCCATTTTACAGGAAGAGTTTAGAGTAGTTATTATAAAAACATTGCCAAAGTTGCAGAACCAAGATTCAAATATGGTTGACATGCTCCAGGGCCCTCTCTGGTGGGCACCTTGCATGTTGCCTCTGTTGATACTCTGAACCCCTGCTGAGCTCAATGATCATAGCAGAGAGGTTATCTGATATTCTCCTGTCAAGTCATCATTGTAAAATGAAGTCCCCAGAATCCAGCTTTCCTGCTAGAATATTCCTGGAAATTAATCCATCCGTTAATCTGGATTATTTTAAAATGTATCTTAAGGACAAAAATAACAATGAGATCAATGATTTAGAGTAAGTTGGTTCATCAACTGGAAATTGTACAAGAAAATGCTTATGATGTGACATTAAGTGCCAAAAAAGAAATGAATTTACAGCATGTTCTTAGTTGCAAGTAAAAATATATGCCGGGGTGGGGAGAAACAACTAAAAGGAAATACCAGTAAATAGTAGGTTCAATATTTACCATGTGACAAGGTGGTAAAGACTTCTAAAGACTTTTCTCACAACAACCCTATTTGGTAAATTCTGTTACAAAAGCATGGGTACTGTAGCTTAACTACATAGAATTTTTTCCTAGTCATATAATCTTCAGCAAGTTAACCTCACTGTGCGTCAGTTTAACCTATAAAATGGGTCCATCAAAAGGGAGAACGTTCTTCATAGACGTTGTGAGGATTGCACGAGTTAACATAACTAAAATACCTAGAAAGTATGAGGAAATCGAAGCACAGATTAAGTAACTTACTTTTTAATCACCAGAAGGCACATGTTCTCACCACAGAAAGACAGACAGAAAGAGAAAGAGAATCCTCAAAAGGGACATGATTGTGCTGAAATTCCTTTTCCTCCATTTCTCCATCTTTTTTTTTTTTTTCAGAGAGGTTTTTGCTATAGGGCACGTGTGCTCACCAGAAAGACAGAGAGAGACAGAGAGACAGGAAGCGAGAAATCCCCCCCCCAAGGGGAGATGGCCAGGCTGCAATCCCTTCTCCTCCATTCTCCTCTCAAGATCTTGGGTATGCACGCACACACGCCCGGAGTGAGTTTACGCCACCAGGTCCAAGACTCAAACCGCGGTCAACTACATGGGAGTCCAGCGCCATAGCCATTACACTAACTGCTGGTCTCTCTCCATCCTCTTTTAAGTACATTTTCTTTTACTGATACAGAATACATATTTTAAATGTTGACTCTTTAAGAAAAAAAATGTACTGGTAAATAGAATACATGACAACAGCCTGAAAATATATGTAAGTACTTCCCCAAAAATATTTACATACATAGTAGTCTACATAAGATCAGCCCTATTATAATCTACTGAGTACAATTTGTTCTTAATTTATAAATGGGTTAATCTAGGTATATAAACCATGTAGGCATGTATGTTATATACATAAAATTTTTTAAATAGGAAAGAGAGATGGGGGAAAAAATGCCCATCCCTATACGATTCAGGCAGAAATTCATTATAGTAAGACACCACAAAAAATGTCTGAAGAATTTCAGTTTGGGCAAATATTTTTGAATATACTGTTTTACCAACTTTTCAGGGCCAACAGGTGGCGTGATGGTTAAGGTGCTGATAGCAGTTGAAGTCTCAGACCTGTTGACTTAAAAATCATGGCAGGTGCATGTTCATGCTGTGCCCAAAATTCCACGAGGAGAATGGAGGAGAAGGGATGTGGCTTGGCAATCTCCCCCTTGGGTGTGTGTGGGGGATGATATATCACTTTCCCTCTTACTCTGTCTCTGTCTCTCTCTGATGAGTATACACCCCCCATATCAAAAATATATTTTAAAAAAGACTACCAACTTTTAATTTAAAATATCTAGTGGAAGTTTCCACTTTAGCATTCAGTGAAGATATAGTCTTCCATTATCTAAAAGACTTTGTGTATATGTTGTCTCTCTGCCTATGTCTCTGTATCTCTCTCTCTGTCTCCCTTGCTCATGAAGGAAGTGAATATATGCACATTAAATAAAGCAATAAGTAACAAAGACTTAAATCCAAACTGTCTGACTCCAGAGTACACCCATTACTTTATACAATCACCTCTAAGTCATGAGATTACAAATAATTATTTGTTTGTTTTTGTTTGTTTGTTTCATTTTTAGTATTTTCAAAATCTATCCATTAACTATGATTTTATAATTAGGAAAAAAGTGACCAAAAGACAAAATTTGAGAACATGTATAAAATAACTGGTGGAGATAAATCCAGTAATGCTCCATGCCAGTCATCACATTTCTTCAACTTCCCATTGAAAAAGCATTTCTCTTTGCATCCTTTTTCCAAAGCTTGATAATCTAAGCACCTATGATCATCTTTTTCTACATAAATGGTGGTTTTACTTAAGGCTGCCACCCACCTCCAGAACTATTACATTAAAATGATGAATCAGAAAGTTTGGGTGAGGAGGCTGGTAAATTCGTCACTGACTAATAATGAAAAAAATGTATTCCTATTTTTCCCAAGGCACTACCTTAAATTTTTATTCGTTTAGTGTTAATTTGTGGAGGGAATTTGATGTGGTGCTTTATAAAAGATAATTAAATAAGATATTCACACATGAATTTTCTTCATTTATTTCAAAACATTTTCTCAACCTCTTAACTGGGAGAGAAAGAATATAAATGTAAAAATATCATATTTGATAATACTTCCTAATAAGTATCTATAAAGTAAACCATTATTACACAGCACAGTCTTACCCACTTTACTGTATTTGATCTGATGAAAATTGATCTTGTGATTCTGCTTTCCCATCAACCAAAAGTGAAGAAAGGAATAGGCTATTTCAATTCACCTTACCTTTGGACAAAACACAGCATAGATGTTCTAAAAATTCAAGCTGTCTCTTTGCCTAAAATTATACCATTCCATTTCAGCATTAAAACCCACAGAAATAATCAGACCTCACAGGATTATATCATATATAATATCTTCTATTTTTGCAAAAAAGTATAGTAACTAACCTGAAATTGCATTTTGACCATTTCTTTCAGTTTATAAAAGTGGACACAAAACAGAGTTCTGAAGATTTTCAAATCTTGCCTTGTGATTTTTTTCTAGAAATAAGTTGTTTTTGAAAATAGACAATACTTGTCATATCAAGATTGATTTCTCTAGAGATTTTTGGTGACCTAAAATGCTGAAAACTTAGTCTTCCAATTTGGGCAATACAGGTTTAGTTTTTAGTGTTAGAGCTCTAAATCTTCCCCACAAAAAAATTAGCTTTCACCCACCTCTCTTTCCACACACATCACTCTCCCACATCATATAAATAATACCTTCCTTCTTCATGTATTTCTAAATTATAGTG